GGAAACAGCCCAAATGCCCATCAGCTGGAGACTGGGTAAAGAAGATGTGGTTTTTCTATAAAATGGAGTACTACTCAGCCATAAAGAATGAGAAACTAGAGACATTTATAACTAAATGGATTCATATGGAGGCCATATTCTTAAGTGAAATAAATAGGACACATGTGTAAATATCGAATAGTTTCTCTGGTGTGAGAAACTAAAAGTGCAAATAAGGACTAAAAGGTATAATAGATAATGTGAAATAGGAAGAAAAGATGCAAAAGGGAAGGGAACAGGGCAGGTGTGGGGGAAAGGAAAGAAGGGAATGGCATTAATATGAGAAAATGAAAAAAATGGAAACAAAGTCTTTGTAAATAAGGAGGGGTGGAGGGGTTGAAGGGAGGCCAGGGGAATGGGGGGGATAAGAACCAAGATAGATTATGTAAAGGTACAAATTTCCAATGATAGATGACATTATATTGTATACCTAAAATGTACCAATGAAATTAATTTTAAACAAGAAGCATGGAGCTCCAGAGGGCTTGGGTTTCCTCAGCACCCCAGCATTGTGGGGGCATCTCCTTAAGGACAGCCTCCTGCATTCTCACAGCCCACCCCAGCTGCTGGCCCCTACTCCCAGGGGTACAGGACAGACTTCAGAGCTCCACAGGGCAATGAATAATCTTACTTTCCTATCACCATGAGACTGGAGTGACACACAAAGCTCTCCAGAGAACTGTATCTTATGATTCTGACCTGAAAAACCACACATTCTCCCCCAAACACCCATCATCTCTACTAGCACACACTGTTCAAGATGCTTCTCTCATACATCAGTCTTCTGTTCAAGTGTGAGCAACCCCTTTGTCAAGTAAACTTTTAGAGGGGACTGGGATGGAATTAAAATGACTTCCTGCAAACTGGAGACACCAGTTCCCCTAATGCAGGTTTTGGGGAGGGCAGTCAGATGGAGGAGATACTTATGCAAAAGAAAGACACATATTTTTATCCTTTCTACAATAGCCTTCTTCCTTGTTATTTCATAAATAAGTGATCATCATGACAAAATTGGGCTCATACAATTTTCAAATAGGAATGTACATTTTTTTAAAATTTTAGTATATATTTGTGATCCAGAGCAGATATAGTCATGATGGGGAATCGGTGCATATACGTGTCCCATCTCCATCCTTTTTACTTCCCCTTCCTCTCTCCCCCATCCCCCAAATCCCTTCCCATCTTCACAAAGTCTACTTCCCTGCTTCCTATCATCTATCTTGTATTTCGCTCTTTAAATTATTTATACTTTGGAAAGGAGGGAAGGGATGAGAAAGGAACATAAAAAGAATGAAGATGCATTATGTCCATGTACCAACTCCCCACAATGAATGTAATCGTTGTGTACTGCAAAGATGGACTAATAAAAATTAAAAATTTTTAAACAAATTATTTACACGTCAAGTCTCATATAGGAGAACCGCAATATATTTAACCTGCACCAGAATGTCCATTACACGCAGCTGCTTCAACCTCCTTCGCAAGGTAGGCGCTGCCTCTGCCCATCTTGCTGGGCCTCTGTCTGCCAGTGCCCCCGTGACCTCTGGTCCCATGCTGGGGGAAATGAGTACAGTTTTTCCTTTGGAGAAGGAATCTGCCTCCCTGCTCAATCCCCCTGTTTGTGTCTCCTCTGCCATCACGTTCCTTTAGGTCCATAATGCACTCCCCAGTCTTTGTTTCCTGGTACCAGGGATCAAATTCAGAACCACCGAGCTAAATCCCCGGCCCTCCCCAGTCTTTGCTTAAGTTTCATTGAGTCCCTTTCATGCCTTGTCTGTGACTGACATTAGCCTGTCCTTCGGGAGCCTTCCAGACTCACCTCTGAATGCTTTGTTGACATCTGCCAAAGAATCTTTACCTCGTGGGACATGTGTCTTCTCCCCTTGCAGCCTGATCTGCTCAGAAGTTGGTTCAGGAAGTGTTTTTGCTGCACCTTGACTAATGTGTAGCTGAGTTTGGTTGCCTTTTGTGACAGCCACATTGCACATTTGAATCACACTGAGGACCAAGTCAAGTAAAAACTTGAGATTGCCTCAAACGATTCCTTCCCCTGCAATTTTATCTTTAATAATCTTATGTATTTTCATTTATTAATTGGAAAACACACACTCAAGGCCCTGCAGTACCATTCTCTGTACTGGTATTAGCCAATCAGTGGCAGTGGATGCCTTTCCTGACTATGGGCCAGCAGCATTGTGTGTGGTGTTCCAGAAGACTTAATGACTTCTTTAGAATCATCATTGTCCCTACCACCACCACTGAGAAATGAAGGAGAATTTATATTGAAAGAAGTTGTCTTAGGGATTCAACTTACAGCAAGTGTGAGACTTGGGGCAGGTCATTTGAGGCTGTTTCCTAAGATTTTTAAAAGAAATTTTAATACCAACAATCTTACTCACGCCACAGAAATTTAGAACCACAAAATGGACGTGAGAGAAGTGTGGTAATCATAACTGGATGCACAGAGGATCACTATGATGCGGTTTATCGCCAGCGTCGTCGCCACTGTCATCTTTACCACACTGATTGATTCCAGTCTCAGAAAATGCCATCTAAAGTGGGAAAAGTGTCAGAGACTTTGGGCAGATTCAGCAAAGACCAGACAGTACGAGAGAGATGGTGATAAGGAGATGTGTGGGTGAAATAAAATGAAAGTAGGGAGGAAAGGGGGTGAGGAGGGGAAGGGAGAGAGGGAGGGAGGAAGCTGCCTTAACATATTCCGATAATGTGAAAATAGCTGGTTTTCCCTTAACAGCACCAAGAAAATCCACTGAATGAATAGAAAAATGCCCAAAAGATAAGTAACAGAAGCTACCTAAATAGCAAATAAGCTATGAAAGCTGTTTTTAATTCAGGATAGTTGGTGTCAATTTCAAGTTTAAACCTATCACGACTTCTGTATTTATGTCCCTAAGGACGGCAAAAATTGACTGTAATATCATCCAAATGCCTGTGAGGATTTGGAGAATTCTCATGTTATTGTGCATGGAGGTCAGTGGTGACAAACCTATGGCACGCATGCAGCAGTGGGCTGTTTGTATCATTGAAAGCTCTGAAAGGTTCACCACCATTCAAATAGGTATTAACACAGCCCACTTCAAGTCATATCTGGCTGTATATTCCAGATAAACTATTGCTTGTGTGTGCTTGGCATTACCTTGCAGCACTGTTCGTAGTAGCAAGCAAATATTCCAGAACAGCCTGTATGTTTGGTAATAAAGAATTAGAAAAAAATGTTACATAAATAATGCCATTTGTGTAAAAGTTTAAAGAACAAAAACAGTACTACACACTACTTATAGACACATAGTTTATAGAAGTATATATATGCAAGACTGATACACAAAAACCTCAGAGAGCTCACTGTAGAGCTCTTGCCTAGCAGGTGTGTGATCCTGGATATTTGATCCCTGGGACTGAAAAGGCCCCTGAGAATATTAGTTGCCTCTAAAAGGCAAGAAGAAAGAGACTGAGACTGGAGATTAAAAAAAAGAAAAAAGAAAGAAATTTGAATTACATCTGTAATATTTTAATTTTTCAGTCAAACAGAATAGCTGCAGTAAAATGCCAAAATACTTAAATGTGTTCACTTCAGATGGTGGGTTTTAAAAATATATATTCTGTGTATTTCTGCACTTAAAAAGTGTGCTTCATAACCACAGCATCATTAAAACTAAAGAGTGCTCCTGTATTAAATATATAAGGTCATATCTACGTGGGTTTGATTACAGAAACTAATAAAGTATTCTCTAAATAATGAAAAAAAAAAGAATAAGATAAGACCACAAGAGCAAGAAGCAATTTAAATATGTTAAGGGACCATTTTCATCTTCAGAATTAAGGATTATTTTAATCTTACATCATTGCCTTTTCTCTTTTACTTTCCTTTTTAGTTTTATTTTAGAATTCCCTATTTTTAATGTTCATACAGAGATTCCTTTAACTGAAATACCGAATAGTTTCTCTGGTGTGAAAAACTATAATAGTACACAAGATCCTAATGAGATAATTAATAATGTGAAATAGGAAGTAAAGGGCTAAAGGTATAGGGAAAGTGGGCAGGGTGGGGGAAAGGTAATAAGGGAGAGGAAAAAATATGAGAAATTGAAAAAATGGAAATAAAGTGTTTGTAAATAGGGAGGGTAGGAGGGGGTAAAGGGAAGGCAGGGACAAGGGGAAAAAATGAGAATCAAGACCTATTATGTCAACGTACAGGATCCCAATAATGAATGTAACTGTACTGTATACCTAGATTGTACCAATAGACTCAATCTAAAAAAAAAGAAAAAAAAACTAAAGAGTGCTCACTTCAGCAGCACATATACTAAAAACTGGATAAAGAAAACAGAGACAGGAGTTCATCTTCAGGATAGTTGCCTTTTTCTAACACCACAAATAATAATGCAACACAGTGCCACATTTGAATGAAACATTTCTGCCAATGCTTCTGCCAGGTTCCAGTTAAATCCCCCCAAGATACAAAAGTGGTAACGACTGGGAGACCAGGACCTCAGATCCAACCAGGAAGAGTGTTTGGTTCAAAACTGAGAGGGAAGGGCTGGGGATTTAGCTCAGCGGTTCGGTGGCCTACCTTGCAAGCACGAGGACCCGAGTTCAAGCCCCGGTACCAAAACAAACAAACAAACAAGAAACAACTGAGAGGGAAATGAGTTTGTCTTGAATTTGGTTTGAATGTTGATTCTTTCTCTTTAGTCTTCCAACACTGTCTCTCCACCAACTACTAGGGATGGAAGGTGACTGTGCTCAGCTCCCTTCCACCTACTTGTTTCAAAACATGTCCTGCTTTGCTGCAAGCTGAAAGCCAGAGCAAGGGAGCATTTCATTAGCATTTCCCAGCACCACCTCATTTGTGCAGAATCATTCACAGATTCTGAGTAAGATCTGGGTTAGAAATTAGCAATGGAAATGGCTCATCTAAGGATAATCCTTCTAGGTATCTGACTCCAGAGGCCCTACCAGTTCCCATATGGGCACTGCCTTTTATTCCTTTCCTGCTTTTTGTTCCAGGAGAGAATGCAAGGGCTGAAGAAGAACATATACGGAGCCATGGCTGCAGGTAAGAAAGCCTCTATCACAGTTCTAAAGAGCACCAGCCTTAGGGAGAGTCTTTGTCCTCTACCCACCTGGGCCCCACATCAAACACAGGAAGAGAAATCCAGTTATTTTAGACTGAAGCAGGAAAAGGCAACCCTGTCTCCCAGTTCTCCTGTGCCTGAGCCCCATCCCTCCTAGTGTGATGATCTCCCTGTACACAGTATTGAGGAATGTGCAAAGAAGCTCAAGTCAGAGGCAGAGGGTATGGAACTGGATTCTGAATATGATTTCTCTTTTCATGCCTCCTCTAAACTGAAAAAAGAAAAAGTTACCCATAGGGACATCCTAAGAAAACTTAAGGAAAGAACCAACACAGAGTAGAAGGAATAAAGTAATAGATTTATTGAAGCTTAGAATGCACTTAGAATTTATGTGTATTCTTAAGAAAGCTAGAAAACCCCAGGTTCTCCTCTATTCGGTGTTGAAGATTTCACCCTACGCTTGGTGTTTTCCTCTCCTATGCTACTTTTGTTACATTTCCTGTGCTTCTTTCTGACAAACAGATGATCTTTCTCACACAAACCCTTCTACTGGTCTTACCCTCACCCCTTCTTTAGCCATCACCCGGACTTTGTCCCAACATTAACTGTGACCCTCCCTTGTCCCAACTTTAAGCACCACTCACCCCTGAGAGCAAAGACCCAGGACACTCAACCCTTGGCAGGGTCATACACTCTGCCCTGTGGATTGGGACGCATGTGTCTACAGAGTGCTGGGAACTTGTGGGTGAAAGAGGCATGACCATACTTTCTCATTCCTGCATCTCTCACCCTCCCTCCTTCTAATCTCACCTTTATTTAGCAACACATCTCAGTGGAGCTGCCTTAAATACCATCAAGGAAAGGCACAGTGACCACGTTCTTTGCAGAAAGAAAACATATTGGTCAAGGCTCAGATAAGGTACACAGAGTATCTCTCTAGTGTGGCAGTTCTGACCCCCTGGCCATGTATGAGTCCAGATGTGGGCTCCTCAAGGTGGGCTCCTTACAGTCCAGGAGCCACCTGAAGCCCTATGCAGGCATTGGGATGCACAGCTTTCATGGAAATCTGTGACCTGGAAGTTACTCACTAACTTAGTAAGGCACCAAAACTTCTTTTTTCCTAGGTGGACCGGAAGATCACAGGTACGCAGTGCATCCACCATTGAGAATCATCCTGGTGGGAAAAACCGGCAGCGGGAAGAGTGCCACAGGCAACAGCATCCTCTGCCGACCAGCCTTCCAGTCCGGCCTGGGGGCCAAGTCGGTGACCAGCACGTGCCATGGGGAGATGGGCACGTGGGATGGGAGGAGCATCCTGGTGGTCGATACGCCCCCCATCTTCGAGTCCAGGGCCTGGACTCCGGACATGTACAAGGACATCGGGGACTGTTACTGGCTGTCAGCCCCAGGGCCCCACGTGCTGCTCCTGGTGACCCAGCTCGGGCGCTTCACCGCCCAGGACACCGTGGCAGTGAGGAGGGTAAAGGAGGTCTTCGGGGTGGAAACCATGAGGCACGTGGTCATCTTGTTCACCCACAAGGAAGACTTGGGGGACAAGTCCCTGGATGACTACGTGGCGAGCACGGACAACCGCAGCCTGCAGGCTCTGGTGCGGGAGTGCGGGAGGCGGTACTGCGCCTTCAACAACCGGGCGGCGGCCGGCCAGGAGCAGCGCGGGCAGCTGGCTGAGCTCAGGACTGTGCTGGACAGGCTGCAGTGCGAGCTGGAAGGCTGCTTCCTCAGCAACGACCTGTTCCTTTGGGCCCACGTGCTGCGGCAGGGCGGGGCTGCTGCTGGCCAGGAAGACCACAGGCGCTACCTGGCCCAGGTGAGGCAGCAGGTGCAGAAGCAGAGGCGACAGCTGAAAGTGGCGGAGAGCAGCTGTGTGTTCAGGGCGCTCCTCAGAGCCCAAGACTGGATTGTGTCCCATGTTGTGGTATCTGCCTGTTTTATTATATGTGGTTTGATTTTTCTTGCACTTTTAATTAATTTTCGTTTTCTTCAGGGAAACTGAGCACTTCCTGGTGATTTCTACAATCAGATATTTTTTCCAGGTTCCCCATCTCAGTCTTTATGTGTGTGCTGCTCTACATTTTATGCAGTTTCACTCTATTTTGCTTTCTTGCATGAGATATTTATTTTCCTGGAATTGCTTTTAGGTAAATAACTCAAAGGGAAATTTTTCTGTTCTTGTTTGGTTAAAAAACATGATAAAGAAAATATGATATCTATACACAATGGAGTACTATTGTGCTCTAAAGATGGATAAACTTGAGTCATTTGTAGGAAAATAGATAAACCGTGAGACCATAGTGTTATGTTAAATAAATCAGTTTCTTATATGAGAAAACCAAAGTATAAATAAATCAAAAAGCAAACCAAAAGATAGATAGTGGTAACTTGGTTCACAAACACTTGTTTGCAAAAAATCTGGTTTGCAAACAGAAGCTTTTGGAAGCATTTTGTTTTTGTTTACAAACTCTGCATCAGGTGACATCTTTCCCACACAGACACAAACATGGCCATCTTTTCCAAAATCATGGACCAAATTAAGTTTGTGAGCCGAGGTACCACTGTAATAGGAAATAGGGAGATAGATCTTTTGCAAATGAGAAGGGTATCAAGAGATGGAGGTAGAGGATGGGGGAAGGGGAAAGGGTTGTAGAAAGAGTGAAGCTGTGCTATGTGGGTGTGCCAACTCCCCGTGAAGAATGTAAGCATTATGCACTGCAAACATGGACTGCTAGAAATGAGTGAAAAAAATAAATGAATAAATAAATAGTGAGAGTAGGTAGTAAACAAACCAGATACCAACCTTCATGAAGCCTCTGGGGGCTTGCAGGAGGAAGGCACGTGAATTGTGAGGCGAGGGGACTGTGCACCTCTGAACCCCTACTTTCCATAGGTGTGATGTTGGGAAGAGAAATGTGCTCTCTGCTAAGCTAGTCGCAGAAGTTCTTATTTTCCTCATAACCCCCCAGATCTCATCGTGGGCTGTAAATGATAATGTGCCCTCACCCCTCAGTTCCCTCCAGAGGAAGATAGGGTGGTCTGATGAGCAAGCCAGGCACTCAAGGGTAAGGAAGAGGACAGGGAGAAGGGTTCTGGACATAAGAGACAGCTGAGCAAAGCATCAGAGCAGACAGAGGCTGGGCCTCACTGCAGGGAAAGCAGGCTCAGCTGCTGGGAAATGTGGAGCAAGAAATCCTAATGCAGGGGTGAAAAGGGCCACCAAAAAAAAAAAAAAAAAAAGACAGACAGAGATCCTGGGCTCAGTGTGCTACTTGGTAGACATCATGGCCACTCAACTGCATGTGTAGGCAAAAGTCACCATGAACAAGAGGATGTGTCCCATAAATCTTGATGAACACTGAATTTTGAATTTCATGCCACTTTCATGTGTGAAGGTGAAATGACTCTTCTTCTGATTTCTTCAACCATTAAAAAGTAGAGAGCCCCATGTGCCCATCAACAGATGAATAAATAAAGAAAATACATTTACACACAGTGGAGCACAACTCTGCCATAAATAAGGGTGAACTTGAGTCATCTGTAGGCAAATCAATGCACTTTCACTAAGTGAAATAAATCAGACACACCACTTTAAGTATCACATGGTTTCTTTTACAGGAGAAAACCAAAATATAAATAAGTTAAAGAGCAAAATAGGATAGACAATAGGAAACACAGAGATAGAACTTTTTCAAAAGGGAAGGTGAACAAGAGATGGAGGGAGGGCCAAGGATTTAGCTCAGCATTTCCACCGCCTGCCTTGCAAGCACAAGGACCTGATTTTGAACTCCGGTACAAAAAAAAAAAAAAAGAGGGAGGGAGAAAAGGGGAAGAAAAGGGATTGTAAAAAGAATAAAGATGTGCTATGTACATGTACCAGTTCCCCAGAAGGAATATAATCATAATGTACTGCAAATGTGGACTAATAAATTTTTTTAAATGTAACCTGTACAAGCCTCCCTTAGCTTGCAGCTGCATGGGCCAGGTTTGAAGCTGTCCTTAAATTCCCTACTGTTGCCTGGGGCACAGTGGAATGTGCCGTCTTTAACTGGAAACTCAGTGCAATCCCGTGTGATATTGGTGGGAATTCAGGGGAAGGGTGATGTTCCACATTCCAAAGAGAGGAAGGCTGACTGACATTGGGGTGAAACACAAGCACAGGTCAGGACCCTGCTGTTTAGTAGTGCTGCCCCCTCCGATTCTTTGTACCTTGTGTAGTACAGCGCGCATTTCCCACTGTGCAGGGAGCGTTCAGTGTCAGCTCCTGAAGCCCTGGGAACGGGAGGGATTCCAAGTGCTCAGACCGAAGACTACTGCTCAATGCAGGCTTCAGGCAGCATGTTCCCACCTGCCTCGGTCTGTCTCTGCCTTGGCCTGCTTCCATTCAACTCCACAGACATTTATCACAAGTATCCTGAGTGCCAGAGTCTCTGCTCGGTGCCAGGAATGTGAGATAAATAATGACAGTGTTCTGCTCCACGACAGGCACAGTGGGTGGAGGGAGGGAGGCAGACACAAACCAGTTACATAAGACCCAGGACGGGTCACATTCAGAGGAAAGGATGCCACATTGGTTATCAGGACCTCGCTGCTCCACTGGCAGTGGGCACAGTGGGAGGGACAGACATGGGAGACGCTAAGAAGGGCATCCGTGTTAGATGGGCACAGATGGCTGCATTGGGGAGGGAACCTGGGAAACCCCCTAAAAGGCGGCATGGAGAAGCAGAGAATTTAGTAGAGGAAGGTGCATCCTTTGGCTCTAGATGTGCCCGCCGTGAAGTCCTCAGGGCCTTGTCCAGCAGGCAGTGGTGACCTCATCCTCCATCTAGGGAAAGTGTTCTGACCAACCACAAGCCTGGCCCCAGGCAAGTGCTAGGGAACAGATGACAGGGGGATGCCCCTTACAGGACCCTGGATGGCTTCCTCCAAGCCTCCTGGTCCATATGCCCTCCACCAACAGACTTTTCACCTGAAACACTGTTGCTGAATGCCCAGTGGACACCTCTCATCCCTCACTTCCAGGGGAAGAGAGCTGGGCCATTTTGCTGCAGGGAAGGAGCCAGGGCACTCCTAGAGCTTCCTCCATGGGAGCATTGGCCAGAGGGATTCCTTGGAGTGTGCGGACGTGAGCTCACTTCTCTTGGGCCTCCTGCTAACCAGTGAAGAAAGCCGGAAAAAGCCCCACTAAGCACTGCCACAGTTCCTCCATTCTTTTCCACTCCTGGAAGCACTTTTGCCTTATTTAAGTTCAGTGAATGTCTTCTCTCCTGTAGACAACACAGTTAGAGGGATTTTTCCTAATTCCAGGAAACAGAAAAGAGCAAAGAGAAAAGACAATCCTGCTCCCTCCCTCTGGTGCCACTTCCTCAAAGGAAACAGGAAAATAGGGAAGTTCTGATGGAAAAAAAAGGAATGTGAAACACTCTTCATTAGTTCCCCACGCTTTCAGGTATAGGTAAGGGAACCCCAGAACTCACACAGCTTACAAAGTTAGGAAATTTACTGGCTCGCATAATTGAAAATGCAGAGATGGGGTAGGCTTTGGGGCTGGGTGATTCGGGGGCTTCTTTTTGTTCCATTTTTCTGTTCTGCCTTGAAGTTTCACTTCTACCTTATCGATAGCAGAATGGCTGCTGAAGTTCTGGTCATCACACCCAGACCCAGCAAGTCTGCAGCTCAGGGCCAAGGTAAGGAAATCTGCAAGGAAGAAAGGGAAACCGGACACTGTCTGGACAAGTGGTGCCTGCAGACCATCATGAAGTGATTTCTGAATTAGTGACACATAGAGCAGAGTCCATGAGGTGACACTTTAGAAAACGCTCCAAGATACAAAGTGTCATGGGTGATACAATATGATCAGAAAAATCAAGAGAACAAAGAAGCTGCACCAAATCAAAACAGCACAGATCTCCTTGTGTAACATCACACAGTCTTGGGCCCTGAACACACAGCTGCTCTCCGCCACTTTCAGCTGTCGCCTCTGCTTCTGCACCTGCTGCCTCACCTGGGCCAGGTAGCGCCTGTGGTCTTCCTGGCCAGCAGCAGCCCCGCCCTGCCGCAGCACGTGGGCCCAAAGGAACAGGTCGTTGCCGAGGAAGCAGCCTTCCAGCTCGCACTGCAGCCTGTCCAGCACAGTCCTGAGCTCAGCCAGCTGCCCGCGCTGCTCCTGGCCGGCCGCCGCCCGGTTGTTGAAGGCGCAGTACCGCCTCCCGCACTCCCGCACCAGAGCCTGCAGGCTGCGGTTGTCTGTGCTCGCCACGTAGTCATCCAGGGACTTGTCCCCCAAGGCTTCCTTGTGGGTGAACAAGATGACCACGTGCCTCATGGTTTCCACCCCGAAGACCTCCTTTACCCTCCTCACTGCCACGGTGTCCTGGGCGGTGAAGCGCCCGAGCTGGGTCACCAGGAGCAGCACGTGGGGCCCTGGGGCTGACAGCCAGTAACAGTCCCCGATGTCCTTGTACATGTCCGGAGTCCAGGCCCTGGACTCGAAGATGGGGGGCGTATCGACCACCAGGATGCTCCTCCCATCCCACGTGCCCATCTCCCCATGGCACGTGCTGGTCACCGACTTGGCCCCCAGGCCGGACTGGAAGGCTGGTCGGCAGAGGATGCTGTTGCCCGTGGCACTCTTCCCGCTGCCGGTTTTTCCCACCAGGATGATCCTCAAGGTTGATGACTCCACAGCGCAGCACTCTTCTCCATCTGCTGCATGGGAAGTCAATACGTAAGAAAGGCTTTGAGATAAGGGGCACAAAAGATCAAAAAGATAAAGCCCCAGCAGAGCTAGCATCCTAGACCGAACAGGTGACTCCACCTGTTCTCCCATCACCCACACCCACATGTAGTGAATAAAAGAGACTGGCTCAGGGATTGTGGGACAAGTTGCCCCAGCGAGCCAGAGTCCAGGCATCTTTCCCCCAGGGACTGCTCCATTCTGCCACCCTTTTCAGGACCTGCCCTCTGTTCAGTCTCCAAGCACACCACAGGCTGCTGCAAGATGCTCAGAAGTTCCTACAACACTGGGCTATTTGTCCTTTAGCTCTGTTCCTCCCATCCTGCTCGGTTTCTTCTTCAGAAGATGGCAGGGTTTTACCAGGAAAAACTTGCCTTCAAACAGGAGCATATAACAGCTGCGGGCCCGGTATGTATGCAATGCACTATCCAATGAGCTTGTTCTGTCTTGGAGTGAACACAACCCTGTACCGCTCACCCCCAGGTGGAAGTCTGCCCCAGTGCTGGACAGGGGCCCTGGCCTATTGAAAAATCTCCTCCATCCAGGGTGGCCTCCTTACCTGCGGGGATGGCACCTTTTCCACCCTTCTGAAGCCCTTCCATGTTTTTCTAGAGAGGAAAACATACAGGGCTTGTTCACACTGGAGTTGGGTGGAATAGATAACACACAACACCACATCCTATAGATGAGGCCATTGGGCAAGAGCATGAAAAAACAAACCCAGCTAACATCACACACAATGGAGCTGAGACTGAAACCCAGATGTGTGGGGCCCCAGATGTTTCCAGCAGTGGACTGAGTTTCATTTGTGGAAGGCACAGAAAGCCCCAAAGGAATTCCTACATGTGCTCATGTTTCCTAAGAATGAGACAACAGATGACTCCAAGACTTTTAATTTAAGCACTAAGTGTCAAAACCCAGCTTTTAGCAGACTTGTTCATAACTCCTTTGAAGGTATCTTTAGCTCCAGAGAAGATAAACAGTAGCAACTTCCTGTCTCTTGGACTCTACTTTTCATCCTAATCCTATGGAAACTGTTTCAGTTTGGTTTGTAAAGCCAGCTTCAGAACATCCACATTCTGAAAACCAATTGTCCTTGCTGAGGAACCTCAGTGCTGATTTTATGACTCAGGCCCTGTTCTTCATCCAATCAAGCACTGGTCTTCAGCATGGAAAACAGCTCCTGGGCATTTTTCTGTCCATGTCCAGGCCATAAAACTTTCAAAATGAGCATAGGAGTCAGTCTATCAGCTTGGCCAGGCCATGAGACTCAGGGATCTAGTCTGACACAAACAATGGTGTGAGGCTGTTGTGCCAGTGTGGCTGACATTAAGCAAAGATTGCCTTCCATAGACACAAAAACAAATGCAGATCTACTCAGCTACCTCATCTTTGACAAAGGAGCTGACCATCCTCAGTGGAGGAAAGATAGCCTCTTTAATAAATGGTGTTGGAAAAACTGGATGTCAACCTGCCACAGATTAAAATTAGACCCTTATCTTTTGCCATGCACTAAATTAAAATCCAAATGGATTAAAGATCTAAATATTAAAACAGAAACATTAAACTTGCTGGAAGGTAAGTTAGGCAGAACTCTGGAAGACATTGGCATAGGAAAAGACTTTATGAACAAATCCTCAGTAGCAAGGGAACTAGCAGATAGAATCAACAACTGGGATCTCATCTTACTAAAAAGCTTCTGTACTTCAAAAGAAACCATTAGCAGAACTAAGAGACAATCTACAATGTGGGAAAAAATTTTTACCAGCTGTACCTCAGACAAAGGACTATTATCAAGGATATATAAAGAACTCAAAACAATCAGTCCCCCCAAATATAAAGACCCGATCCAAAAATGGGCATCCGAAATGAACAGACATTTCTCATACAAAGAAGTGAAAGCAGCAAGAAAATATATGAAAAAATGTTCCACATCACTGGTCATTCGAGAGATGCAGATGAAAACAACACTGAGATTCCACCTCACCCCACAAAGAATGGCTGCTATCAAGAAATCACACAATAACAAATGTTGGCGGGGTTGTGGGGAGAAAGGAACCCTCCTCCATTGTTGGTGGGAGTGCAGACTAGTGCAACCACTATGGAAATCAATATGGAGATACCTCAAAGAGCTTGGACTGGAGGTTCCATTTGACCCAGCCATCCCTCTGTTGGGTATCTTTCCAAGAGAACTAAAAGAATCATATCACAGAGAAGTATGTGCACCCATGTTTATAGCGGCACAGTTTGTAATAGCTAAATCTTGGAAACAACCTATTTGCCCATCCGTTGGAAACTGGATAAAGAAGTTGTGGTTTTTCTATAAAATGGAATATTACTCAGCCATAAAGAGCGAGAGAATAGATTCATTCATAGGAAAATGGATACATATTGAAGATATACTCCTAAGTGAAATAAATAAGTCACACATATGTAAATACCAAATAGTCTCCCTGGTGTGAATAATCTGCAACAATGCATAAGATTCTAATAAGATTACTGACATTTAGAAATTTGAAGAAAGGAGCTAAAGGTGTAGGGAAGGTGTGATGCGTAGGGGAAGAACAAAAAGGGAAAAGAAAAAAATGTGAGAGAAGGAAAAGATGAAAATAAAGTGTTTGTAGATGGGGAGGGGAGGAGGGGGTGAAGGGAGGGCAGAGGTAAGGGGAAAAAATGAGAATCAAGACTTGCCATGTAGAGGTACATGATTCCAACAATGAATGTAACTGTACTGTATCCCTAAAATGTACCAATAAACTCAATAAAATTAATAAAAAAAAAAAAGATTGCCTTCCATGACAGGGTGGGCCTTGTCTGATCAGATGAAGGAGCAAAGCTGAGGTTTTTGCTGAAGGAATTGTCTCAAGGGTGCAGCATTCACTCCTTCCTGAGTCCCTAGCCTGACAGCCTCCTTGAGGATTTTGGAACTAATTCCTTGAAATAAATATCTGGAAGCAGGGAGGACAGGATCATCTATGGGTCCCACTCTCCCATGGTCCCTGGGCGTTATAAGATACTCACATGATGTGCTTGGCCAAGTGAGCAGTAGCGGCCATTTCCCCCCAAGAATCAGAACCTTGAATTGCTCTATTCTCTGACTGAACCCAGCCTGAGCAAAAAGATGACAGTTAAAGCAGGGGAGGAAATATTGATGGTTTCTCATTTTCATAATTATTATTTTTTTAGACTTTTATTTTTTTTCCAATCACAGAGCTGACTTTCTAGTGTGAGTCACCACAGTTCGAACCAAATGACTGTCACCATTTACCCTACTTTGTCCCTACTGAGAACCCTGCCCAGGATGTCACTGTCATCCCACCCCACCCAAGAGCCCATTCAGGGCTGGCCGTCAACCCACCTCGATCACTTATCACTTCCTCCCCATCAGTCGTCCTGTCAATGCATTCACAGTGTTACTAAGCAGCTCTGTTTACCAGATATCACCTGCCCCAGGAGGATGGCTGGGCCCCCGCCTGGGAAAGGATCCCCCAATCTAGCAAGAGAGGCAGGATGTCTCTTGTGCCTCTTGTGGTGGTAGCATTTCCAGCTGCAGGATGGGAAGAGGCTGAGAGGGACAGGGAAGCTGCGGGCTTCCCTTGAAAATATTATGAAATGGACTCAAACTGGAGGGTTAGCTTTGGGCACATTCTCTAGCTCCATTTGCAAAAAGTAATAATAATATTATTCTCCTTGCTTCCCCTGTGTCTCTGAGCTCCAGTGGCACCCTGATTAGGAGAATTCAAGATTTAGTGTGAGAATCCACTGCTGCTCAAGGGTATGAGTCAGTGTAGTTTCCCAGGAATAAAGCCTCTGCTTCTTCTACCTTCATTCTGGCTAATTCTGCTGTCTTTCTTTTTTGTTTTTTGGTTTGTTTGTCTGTTTGTTTATTTTTTGAGACAGGGTCTCACTATGTAGTTAAGACTGACCTAGAACTCACTATGTAGCCAGGCTGGTCTCGAACTCACAGCAATCCTCCTGCCTCAGCCTCCCGAGTGCTGGGATTAAAGGCGTGCACCATCCAGGCTGGTCTCGAACTCACAGCAATCCTCCTGCCTCAGCCTCCCGAGTGCTGGGATTAAAGGCGTGCACCACCATGCCTGGCTTTAATTATGCTGTTTTAATGAATTCTTTTTCTATTTTTTAAATTTTGTCTCTATCAGAAATGAAAAGTGAATGCTGTGTGTGAGCAGATCAACTTGAATCATATTCCTGAAATCTTTCTCCCTCTTGAAAAATAGAAAGTTTCCATCCAATTGAGTATTCAACCATAAGGAATGGGGGAGAAATAGCTTCAAAATCCAAAGGTGAATGTTCAGCCAGTACTTCAAAGGGAAGGGTATCCCATGACTTCTGGAGGGCTGGTGGGGTTGGAGGAGGGGCTGCCCTTTAACATGTGGAGCCCCACATCTGTTCCCAGATCTGGGTGCAGCCTCTTCCATGGGCACATCCGAAAGTGCCTATTCACAAATTCAGAGGAAAATTCACAGTATCACCAGAGGCTGTTGCCTTAGCTCATGCCAGTCACCCTTTTAGGGTCCCAAAGAGATCTGCTTGCTGCTATTTTCAGCATTCATTCATTCAGGACTTTACAGTATACAATTCTGGGTCCTGATTTGAATAAGGAAAAGGTTTAGAAAGTTCAGATGCCTTTTCCTGGTTGGCACAGACTGCTGCCAATAAAACTAAGAAAGGGCAGAAGGGACAATAAAAAGAGGAGTGGGTAATAAAGGAGGAAAAAACAAGTGCTGTTACCTGGTAGATGTGCAGCATTTGCAAGATCTACTCATGGCCTTGGAGCAATCCTCCTCCTGTCCCAGATGGACTCTTTCTTTGGTTCCTAGTCGCTTCATAAGAACCTAAGAGCATAGTGTGAAGGCCCTAGATTCAGTCCCCAGTACCAGGGAAGTGGGGTGGGACAGTGAAGTGAAAACCACAGTCTATCTGCAAGACTGAGCTCATCACACTCCCCGAAGACAGGAAAAGAGTGAGCTGTGTGCTGCCTTGCATAGCTGTCCTCAGAGGGCCATTCTGAGACACCAGGGGAAGGGGCTGTTTTTAAAATATCAGCTCTGTTTCCCTTTCCTTGCTACCCCTCTGCCACACTTTTAGGCAAAACAAACTCACTACTAACATTAAGAGGGGAACAGACACCCAGAGAAGCTGACACTCACCTGGACCATCTCGTGCCATGCCAAGCCTCCATCTGCTCCCACTGGCCCAGGAAGGCCACACATCTCTCCACCCATCTCTCACTCCTCCCCACACTAGAGCCTGGTGTGGGGGACTCGACACAGCAGCAAACCCTGAACCCGAGGCAGCTCTCCAGGCTCCCTGCATACAAAGCAGGCATCCTGGCATCCTGCCTGAGACCGACTATGGCTCCCTCTTATTTTTGAGCTAACTGCTGCCTGCCTTTGGTTTACCTTCCCTCTGATCCGAGCAGGGAATACGGCTTGGTTGGTTTCCTGACCCAGGCAGACCTCGTTTCCACAGGAACCAGGGAGGTATCCAAGCCCACCCATGCTGTGATTTAGGCAAAGCAACCCATCAGAGAGTTTGGCAGGGGGAAGAGCTTTACCAGTTACTTGAACAACTGGGTTCAGATTAATTCAAAAAAAGAAACTATAAGAAGATACAAATAACCTCTTGGATCCCAGCTTCCTTTAGAGAGAAAGGCAATTGTAATGAACATAACACACAGGTCACATCTTGCAATGAAAGCCAGGCTTGACTTCCAAAATACTCTCCTATATTGTTCCTATAACTTAAACTTTTCAAATTATAATCGCCATTACCTTGGATGAGGTGGACACATGGTCACCTGCTAGGGAGGACAGAAAGACAGGCTTGTAAACTACAGAAAACACTGTTTACTTTTAGCTATTTAAAATATTCTGATAACTCATTTTTGCTAGAAAAAAATACAAAGGGCTAAAGATCAATTCCTCTAAAACAAAAATAATTATTTTGAGAGAACTTTATCCACTCCAATGGTTTACCATGAATATTTTTATACCCAACACCAACTTATTAAGCTCTCTTAGCAGGTGTTTTGTGGATTCTTGATGCACAAGAAAGGGGCGTTGCTTGAAGATATCAGATCCACATTGCCATTTTTAACCTCCATGGTTCTTCCAGTCTGAAGACGCACCGGCTAACACCGGGTCCTTACCACCTGTGCGCTGTGCATTAAAGAAAATGCAGACCAATCACTGAAGCAAGAATCTTGATCCCATCTTCAGTCGTGGCCTCTAGGTTGAGATGGGCTGCCCATCTATTCAAGTGCTTTTTCCTCTGAGCTAACTATTCCTGTATTTAGTTGATTTTTATATTAAGTTATTTGTATTTCTTTCATTATTGATTAAAGTCAAGCATGCAATAGATGCAAAATACTACCTATACCATGTTATACCCATTTGCAATTTTTTTCTGCCCCATTTCCTCTTCCTATTCAGAGTTCCATGGCTATCAGAGTTCGGTGGCCTCCTCTTTTCTAGTCAGTGTCAACTACTGTTGGCTTTCCAAAGGTAAGCTCATCTAATTGCTGGTGGGAGATCGAACAGCAATAAAGACCCAACAATAATAAAGGAAGATTATTATTTTCTCCACAGCTACCGAGGAAGACAGAAAACATGATTCCTACAAGAGTCTGTGGGCTATGTAGTATACAAAAATTGTACCTTTGTTCCTGTGAAAATAACCTCTCCTCTCTAAAGGTCTTCTAGAGAATTATCATAGTTTTATTTCACAATGTATTTTCTAATAGTAAGATATAAATTGAAATCCTAAAAACTTACAAGATTTCTTGGAAAAATCCAAAGGAAATTGCTGATGTGACCATTTCTACTACAGATATGCCCATGATAAAGTAAAATAGTCAAAGAATTTGAGAATCTTATTTCATTTAAATATGCTAAGTAAAACAGAGCTATCAGCTGTTGTCAAATGTCTTGCAAATACCACCCCCTGCTGTTCATCTCTTAAATTTTTTATGGTAAATTTTTTGTTGTTTGTTTTTTTGTTTTTTTGGTCAGCAGATTTAAGGGCATTGAGGTGGGTATAACACACCACAAACGTATTTTTCTAATGAAAATATATACCTTAGTATAATGGTAGCTGGCTGTGTGTCTCAGTAGCTGTGCTGGGGGAAGAGAGGAAGCAATCTTTGTATTCATCTACTTGGTATGACAAATGGCAAGATTTGTGAATGTGTGTCAAAGTGTAAATGGGTGTATTTTATGCACATTATGCACCATGTTACATTTTTGTGTTTTTAAAATTTTTATTGCATGTTTTCTTTTTATTCTTCTTGTAGAATTAGCCCAATTCAGTACAAAATCTCTTGAAAATCCACTTTTACAATTTTGTTTTGTTTTTTGGTTTTTGGCTTTTTTTCACTTTTACAATTTTGTAAGGAGGTTGAAAGTGAGTCATCAGGTGATTCAGCAACTGATGATGACCTAGATCATGTAAGCCAAAGAAGTCAGCAAGATATGACAGAGAAATACAGAATAAAGACTTGATTCAGATGTGGAAGAAAACAGTAGTGTAAATAAATATTTGACTAGTCAAAATGCTACAAAATGTTCATGTATATCTGAATGATCAAATGTTAGAATTAGGTCAGAAAATGTTATCAAGTTCTTGCCAGGGTTGAAACCTATTGGACAGAATGCCAACACTGTAACTCAATGTCGGAAATTGTTTGCAATGGACAATATACTGCAAAATGCTTTGAAATACACTAATAATGAAATATAGGTAAAATATTCTGTATGCATTAACAGTAATACTCAAAAATATACTTATTATAACAACTCACTATCTGAACTAAAAGCCTTCATGGCAGGACTTCATCATTCTAATTGTCAGAATCTAAAGGACTTATGGAGAAGTGACAGATGTGGTGTTGAGATTTTTAGAAAGATAATGACACTTAAGATATTTTGTTTCTTTCAAAATTGCCTATTTTTTGTGAACAAAAAGACCTGCCAAGAAAGAAAAGTTCTAAAAAAAAAAAATCTGACAGTGTGGTTGCTATTCACTCATTTTTGAAAGCTTTGTTTCAAACTGTCAAGCAATTTATTCACTATCCAAATAAATGACAACTGACAAACAACTTGCTTCATTTCTTGGTTGTTGAAGGTTTGCCAAGTGAACCTTCCAAAAGTGATATAAAAATGTTTGTCCTGGTAGACATGAAGACATTTTACACCTTGAATTTAGAAATTTATCCTGGAACTCAGACCCCAGGTCTTTATGCATACAATAATAAACCATATGATGTTGTGAGCAGACTTGTTGTACTTATTTCAAAAAAGCATCCCACAGGGCCAGGGATTTAGCTCAGTGGCATAGTGCCTGCCTGGTAAGCACAAGGTCCTGAGTTTGATCCCCAGTCAAAAAAAAAAAGTAACCCAAAATGTCACATTGAACAATTGGCTCACAAGTTACCCATTGATGTTACATTTGCTAAAAACAAAGCAAAACATCAGTTGCCCAGCACAGGAACTATTCACAAGAACAAAGTGGAGATTCCTGAAAAAATGATGCAAGTTCACAGTAGAGAAATGTATAGTACAGCCTTTGGATTTCCGAAAGACATAATATTGGCCTCCTATTTGGTAAAGAAAAACAAAGTAGTGCTGATAATGTCAACATTACACCATGATGATAAGATGGATAGTGAAGCCACATGTCATGGTGCACGCTATAAGAAACAGGGGTAAGGGGAAAAAATGAGAATCAAGACTTGTCATGTAGAGGTACAAGATCCCAACAATGAATGTAACTGTACTGTATCCCTAAAATGTACCAATAAACTCAAGTAAAGCTGAAAAAAAATATAAACAAGAAAGTGTCTCAATCTTGCACTCTAGTCCATCATAGGTGGCCCTTTCCAAATATAGTAAGTTATGAGAAATGCCCGCCTGCTCAGTTAAATTTCTGAAAACACAACTATAAACTAAAGACGGCTTATGGACAGCCAAGGACTTTCTCTCCCCACCTCACCCGCACTCTTCCTTCCCTTCAGCAACCCTCCGGACACCCTCCTTCATGCCATTTAAACAAAATCAAAATAAATTGTGAACCTTCAACCCAGCCATTGGGGAAAAGGCCAGTTGCTTCTCCTGCATTAGGGATAAAAGGACCAATTCTCCTTTGTCCTACCTGCTGCCTCATGCTTGCACGCTCCTACAGGCGTAAAAATTTGCCTTGTTGAGACCTCTTGCCTTGTGTCTGAGTGCATTTTTTCTAGCACCAACAATTTGAGTCTGGAAGTTTATTTCTGACAATGCCTATAATCCCAGCAGTGGGAGGCTGAGGCAGGAAGATCCTGTGAGCTGGAGGTCAGCTGGTGCTATGTAGTGAATTCAAGTTTTGCCTGGAGTAGGAAGTGAGACCTGTCTCAAAAAAAACCACAAAAAACAAAAAACAAAAAAAGAAGATTGATAGTGAATCCTCAACAAAAAAGAAGCCAGAAATGGTCAAAAAACTAAAGGAGGAGTAGATGTTGTTAAAGAGTTACACAGTAACTATGATGTCTCTCGAAACACAAATGCTGGGCGATGGTTGTGTTACAGAGGATCCTGAACATGTCATAGTTTACAGAATAGTGTCATAGTTTACAAAGAAAATAACAAGAACAAAATATCATGTAGAAATTTTCTTAGAGGATTGGGACTGGAATTAATAAATGAGCAGTTACAACAGAGGTAGAACAGTATGCACCTGCCCAAAGAACTCTGCAAAAGAATTCTGGAACAGACCAGGGTACAGACGGGTGAAACATCAGAAGAACCTCCAGGAAAACAGGAAGACCAGCAAGATGTCAAGTATGTCCTGCCAAAGGAGACAGGAAGACAAAGCACACGTGCTGTCCATGTAAGCTACAC